AGTATAACGTCTATGCGTAAGCGATGTGACTCATTTCATGTTTTGCGGTAAATATTTGCATATAGATCGATAAAAGCCCATGAATAATGATATTTATAGATGCAATTCTGCTGATTCAGTTTAAATGGAAAAACGTATAAAATTCGCGGGAAACAATGCGTATAGGATGATCTCAATATCAACACGTCATATTCAGTGTGCATATAAAAATGGAATTGCTCATATGTGGTGCATACAGTTAATGTTAGTTAATTTTTAACATTGATACAATATTGAAAACATAGTACAGTCTATATTGTGTATCTAATAAATTCAACAAGGCAATCACCTACGTCGCAAATGAGGTTAGGTTCAGGGCAGGTGTTGTCGTAGCGGTGATATGCAAGAAGTACCGGGCGGGGCTGTTAAGCATGGGTGAATGGGCAGGAGCGCAGGCTGTCAACGAGTTAATACTGACCAACGATAACAGCGGTGACCTTGAAACACTGTGGTCAGTTAAAAAGTGGTGGGGGTAAAATGAGATTATAAATACCTATGAATCACCGCAAATTATCTTGTCAGTTATCTGCAGCGAACAGACGTGCTCAGTTCAGATTTAGTCGCTAGTTAACGTTTTAGTTTTTAAAAAATGGAAAAATTCATCGTTAAGGATTCTACTAAGAAGATTAAAAAATTTAATCTATATGGGCGAGAAGTGGAATTTAAAATACGACCTATCCCTAAAGACGTCGAACCTGTGGGATGGATCAAAGACGCTCTGGAGGAAATAGTAGCCAAAGGAACTGAACATCTCCAGCCCAGTGATCAAGTTGGATTCACTTTCTGTTCCAAAGACTTTACCCGCGGTCAAGGATGGATAGCTTTTAAATTGTTTTCCGACGTTTCAACTGAGGACATATGGGAGAAGATATCTTCCATCTATCAGTCAAATTCTGTGGGGTTGAATACCGAGACTTTTTGCTTGGGTATTACGTCCGTAAGGTTGCCTGCTGGTCGTGGTAGAGCTCAGAATTTCAATACCTTTGATGAGGAATGCGCCAAAAGAAAAGGCATTATCACCGTTAAAAACACCGATAATTTGTGTCTCCCACGAGCCCTTGTCATCGCCATGGCCCATTTGAACAAAGACAAAGATTATAGCAGAATCCGCCGTGATCGAGAGAAAAATACAAGGACAAAGAGCTGTACAACTTGTGGAAAAGGCTGATATTGTTATCCCTGAGGAGGGGTGTGGAATACCTGAACTTCAAAAGCTACAACGATATCTGCAAAACTACAAAATTGTTGTATACAAGTTTGGGTGCAAAGGTCGTGACGTCATTTTTGAAGGCGTGTCCGCTGGTTCGACGCTTAACCTAATCTATCACGAGGGGCACTACAGCGTCATAACATCCCTCACTGCTGCCTTTTGCTGCAGCTTTTTTGTGAGAACTGCCACATTCCGTATAATACTAAACAAATTCATAGATGTGATAAACAATGTTATGCTTGTAAAAGATCTCCGGCCTGCCTGAAAACGAAGCACATCAAATGCAAAGAATGTAATAGAAGCTTTTATGGACAAGAATGTTTTAACGCTCATTTACCATCGGTCTGTTCTAAAATTAAAAGATGTGTAGACTGTTTTAAAGTTCACAACGGTAATGATCACATCTGCGGATATATACTTTGTAAAACATGTTATAAAAATCAACCAATTGAACATATGTGCTATATACAGCCTGACAGAAGTATTCCTAAATCAAATGATGTCTTATTAATATTTTACGATTTGGAAACCCGTCAGGAGAAGGAATTACCCAATGGATCTTTACTGCATGAGCCAAATCTATGTGTATTCAAACAATGTTGTGAATCATGTACCGATAATCCTATATGCAAGAAATGTGGCCTTCGAATACAGATTCTTCGATGTCAAGACGTCATTTCTCCATTTATGCATCATATTCTGACACTTCGTAAAAAATTCAAGAAAGTCATTGTACTGGCGCATAATGGTGGAGGATTTGATCATCAGTTTCTACTTCGTTACATTTTAGAGAAGACTAGTCTGTACCCGAATGTAATTATGAGAGGAACAAAATTAATATTGATGGAGGTAGGAAATGTAAAATTTCTGGATTCTCTCAATTATTTTCCTATGCCTCTAACTGCTCTACCCAAGGCGTTTGATTTGAAAGAGCTAAAGAAAGGATACTTTCCACATTATTCAACACTTTGGCTCATCAGAATTATGTAGGGCCAATTCCAGCGCTCGACTTCTACGATCCCGACCATTTAAAGGAAGACGCTCGGGAAAAATTATTAAAATGGCATGGCGAAAGACAAGCGGAGGGATACGTTTTTGATTTTCAGAAAGAAATCGTTGAATACTGTATCTCCGATGTGGAAATATTGACACAGGCGTGTCTCAAATTTCGAGACCTGATGAAAACCGAAACCACAGTCGATCCCTTCCAGGAAAGCACCACTATTGCATCATGCTGTAACAAAGTCTTTAGACGCAATTTTTTAAAACCTGAGACGATCGGGGTAATTCCAAAAGGGGGCTATAGATGGCGTGAAAATCAGTCAAAAATTGCCATCCAATGGCTGTTGTGGGAGGAACATCAAAGAGGAATCAAAATTCAACACGCCGCTAAGGGTATAGAAACCATTGTTAAGGGACATAAAGTAGACGGTTTTTGTAGCGACACAAATCAAGTGTTTGAATTCCAAGGATGCTATTTTCACGGTTGCCCTCGATGTTTCAAATACAAAAGAAGCAATCCTCTGCATAATGATCCGTTGAATACATTGGAAAGTCGATACGAACAATCAGTTAGCAAAGTAGAGAGACTCCGAAGCCTTGGACTAGAAGTAATTGAGATATGGGAATGTCAATTTCGAGGAATGCTAAACGATGAAATTAGAGCCTTCACAGAAGCACATCCATTGATAATCAATTTACCGATTAACCCCAGAGACGCTCTCTACGGGGGACGTACAGAAAATATCGTTGAATACTACAAGATCAAAACAAATGAATGCATAAAATATGTCGATATATGTTCCCTGTACCCCTTCATCTGTAAATATGGAAAATTTCCGGTGGGTCATCCAAAAAAAATTTACGTAGGTGAAGAATGTGTTACAGCCTCTCTGTCGCAGATGTCAGGACTTATTAAATGCCAGATTCTACCGAACCAGAACTTATATCACCCCGTTTTACCGTCAAAAATGAACAACAAATTGATGTTTGTTAACTGTCAAAAATGTGGTGAAGATTTCGTTCGAGAAGAGTGTCAGCATTCTATTCAAGAAAGAAGCCTAAAAGGAACTTGGGTGATAGAAGAGGTGCTCAAAGCTATTGAAAAAGGTTACCAGATTATAGAGACTTACGAAATATGGGAATACGATACAATTCAGCTCAGTAAAGACCAAGAGGGGTTATTTAGCGGAATGATGAACAAGTTTCTACAAATAAAAAACAAGCTTCAGGATGGCCCAAACATTGCTTAACGGATGAAGAAAAAAACCGTTATATTGATGCATTTTTGGATAGAGAAGACATAAAGCTGGAATTTTCAAAAATTATAGAGAACCCCTGTTTGAGATCGTTAGCTAAACTTATGCTGAATTCCTTTTGGGGTAAATTTGCTCAAAAAGAAAACCAAAACAAAACCTCAATAGTCAGAGACTGTGGTGAATTCTTTGATATGCTGACTAATCCTTCTATTCATGTAAATACAGTTCTCCCGGTAAACGAAGAAACCCTTCTCATAACTTGGGAATTTAGAGAAGAGGCCTATGACGTTTCTTCAACGGTTAACGTTGTATTGGCTTCATATGTCACGGCCCTAGCTAGACTAAAATTATATTCATTCTTGGAGAAAGTGGAAGAAAGGGCAGTTTACGTAGATACAGATTCATGTATTTATATCTCTCGTAAGGGATTAGACGACATATCTACAGGCGACTTCATAGGTGATATGACCGATGAGCTCAATGGGGGTTTCATATCAGAGTTTGTTTCTGGAGGACCTAAGAACTACGCCTACAAATATACTACTTTGTCTGGAGAGGAACAGATCGTATGTAAAGTAAAAGGCATATCACTCAACTACAAGGCATCCCAAGTAGTCAATTTTGAGAAAAAAAGACATGGTGCTGAAGAAATCTGATCCTGTTTCTGTACTTTCTCGACAGCTACGACGTACAAGAGAGCATGCAGTAGTAACAGTCGAGTTTCCTAAGGTATACAAGATAACTTCAATGAAAAGGAAATTCTATGAAGATCATACCTCTGTACCATTTGGATTTAAGAAAATAAAGTATTGATTTATTAATGTATGTAAATATTTTTTAATAAACATGTAAAATAAAATGTATGCAAATGATTTTTTGTTTTTTATTTCCCGCCTAATTGAAAAATATTTTTGCACCCGAAATTGTTCAGCCTTTTTACTCCATATAAAATATTTAAAAGTATGCATTGTTATTATTAAACGCCTGCAGTAATATACACCAAAAAAATTGAGAAGCAGTGTAACCATGTGGAACTTTGTATAATCACAAAAAAACATATCTTGGAAAATAAAAAATACAGCAGATTCATAAGCAGTGTAGAGAGGAAACTACGTAAAAGTAATCGATTATTACTAATAAAATAGAGTTTTGAATTCCTATTTTTACAATAATAATCATTTTACTATCTTACGTGTTGGGCACTGCACTGTACGGGTACCAACACTGTACTGCACGGGCACGAAAAATTGAGAAGCATGATAACCATGTAGAACTTCGTATCACTACGTAAATGGTTATTACGAAAGTAGAAATAAAAACTATATTTTCGATAATGGCTATACTATTTTTTATGAGCACCGAAAAAATTGAGAAGCACGATAACCTCATAGAACTTCGAAACAGCACCAGAGACAACCGAAGGCTACAAAAAAAACACATACTGAAAAGGCATAACATCTATCAGCGCTGGTATCCGATAATACTGTTTCCTTTGACATTCGTTGGGATATGAAAACACATATTTGCTTCCCACCGTTATAACGGAAATAATAGTTACTGCAAAAGCAGTTTCACGATAAGACCATACATTAATCTACAAAGTTGATAATAAAACATATGTACTATTAAAATGCAGATATTTTTAAAATTATACAATTAAAAAATCAAAATAATATATTATAAATGGTAGGGGATACAGGGTAAACACCGAAATATACTTAATTTAGAATAGTTACTTATAATCTCCTCAGTTCTTTGGTCAGCCGTATCGACAATTTACCGGTGGGTCCTCTATTTTTGTGCATGTAAAAGGTTAGACTATGGCGCTAGCAAAAAAAAAACAAAATGCAACAAAGTAGAGTCACTTAATATTCTTGTTGAAATTACGGATAGAATATGGTAGAAAGTAACAATCAGATATTGTAGAAGCCATGTAATTGTTTAATTGTTGAGGAAAAAGTATTTTTCATACGCTGACCATGTTTATGTCCGCTTGGTACGCGACCAGATCTTTTCCAAACCTTTGCCCGTAGGGTTCATGAGCCTACGACCAAATGTGTCGTCGAAGGGGCATTTTTGGCAAATTCGGTCGAAACCGATGCTGCGTTCGTACCCTAGAGCCTACGAACAGTGACTCAAACTTAATTTTAATTGATATGCAAAGATCTGGCTAGAATGCTTGAGCTAGTGATTATATGCAATTTATCGGTGACGAGCTTTCCTCTAGCATATCTTGATTTATTCAAGCGAATCAATGAGAAACTAGTGAATAAAATTACCTGACAGCCATAGTACAAGTTGGTATATCTACACCTTCTCTTACATTTGGCGCCACTAAAATGTTAATCTCCTTGTTTCTAAAAACGATCAAGTACTTATCTGTTCTTCTTATTAATCGGAAGTGATTCTACGGTGCTATTAAAAGAGTTTCCGTTATATCCCACAACGAAATCCGGCTTTATATGTCTGAACTCTGGTACATGTTCACTCAAATCTTTCAGTACATGGTGCATTTTTGGCAGTTGATCTTTCCTTCGTGAATATTAAACCACAAATGTCTTCGTTTGAAGATGAACTGTTGAAAAGTGTTACGTTATATTAGTATTTATTTATGACATTTACTTTTTTAAAATAGTTAAATACTACGATAAACTGGGAATGTGGGATGAAGCAGAAATGTTTCTGTAACCCAATTTAGGTATGTATAGCAAGTCTTACGCAAGACAATAATAAAAACAGATAGAATTCGAGGGCGATTCTTGGAAGAAAAATTCATAGTATTTCTAAGGCAACAGCGACCGGAGGTGCTATAATTTTAGCATACATTTACAGGTTATAGGTCTAATGATAAATAGAAAGTGATTAAAATTTTAACTTCAATTTTCGTAAAATAGCTGAGATATGCCATCTTGCAGTAGCCTGAATGAAATACCCGACAGGTTACCCATCACCTGATAGTCTGTGGTTCTCGCCGCTAGATGACGCTACATACAAACGTCATCTGTCAAACGTTATGTGTATCATTGATAAGTGTGAGTTGTGTCTCTAAGCGCTAGATGGTGTCGATGTCGCACTGGTGTCGTAGAGTGACCCACATACAGGGGTCGATAGAAATTTTTGGGGCCCTACCGACGGGTCGATGAACCGACGGTATAATGTCAGATCGAAATAAGCTCCATTCACATGGGAGGTGTGTGTGGAATTGCTCGTGGGAGACACGGACCTTGTCGTATATAGCAAGACGTGTCCTAAAATGGTGATACCCATTGGTCGCTCAGCCATACAGGTCGGTCAGACAGAAGTTTTTGGGACCGGGGTGCTCTGATTGGTGGATCAGACGGCGGGAAATTTGAACGGTGTTGATGGTATAGCTGAATGGTGGACGGCGGGGTCGGGTGCGTTGGTAATCACCTATGTCGCAAATGAGGTTAGATAGATAGTCGTTCAGTGAAGGTGTTGTCGTAGCGGATATGCAAGAAGTACTGCTCGCGGGGGTGTCAACGAGTTAATATTGGCCAACGATAACAGCGGTGACCCTGGAACACTGTTGTCACACGGTTGCAAAAGATGACAGGTTATCTCTTAATTTTCGTAAACAACGATTTTTCTAAAGTGGTAAAAACAGGTCGAAATTTTAAATACCTATGAATCACCGCAAATTATCTTGTCAGTTATCTGCTGCGAACAAAACATGCTCAGCTCAGACTTATCTAAAAAGTGGTGGGAAAATCGATATTATAAAAATATTTATGAATCACCGCAAATTCTCTTAGACGTGCTCTTATCAGTTCAGACTTAGTTAAAACTGGTGGGTAAAATCGAGATTATAAATACCTATGAATCACCGCAAATTACCTTGTCAGTTATCTGCAGTGAACAGACGTGCTCAGTTCAGACTTAGCAATTCCCAACGCTCCTCCGTGGCCATTCCCCTTACCCTCTCGCGAGTGCGCGCATGCGCATGCGGCTCGTTCTGGTCTATAGACATATGATCGCTAATGATCTTGAACAAAGATGTCCTGATACACGAACCGCCAGAGGTACATCAGAAGTAATGTTAGTATTGTGTGTGCGTGTTTTTTGAACACGCTAAGTCGTGATGTACATCACGTGACGTACGTCACGTGACCTACGTGACGTGCGTGTGACAGGTGACGTACGTGTGACAGGTGACGTACGTGTGACAGGTGACGTGCGTCACGTGGCACGTGACGTGCGTCACGTGACACTTGACGCACGTGGCGTAGATACTGGTGCACTCTGGGCGCCCCCCACCACTTCCACTTTTTGGCCACGCCCACCACATCCACCGCGTGCTCTGATTGGCGGATCAAACGGCGGGAAATTTGAACGGGGTTGATGGTATATGTTGATTGGCGGGAACCGCTAGATCCACCGCGTGCTCTGATTGGCGGATCAAACGGCGGGAAATTTGAACGGGGTTGATGGTATATGTTGATTGGCGGGAACCGCTAGATCCACCGCGTGCTCTGATTGGTGGATCAGACGGCGGGAAGTTTGAACGGGTTGATGGTATATGTTGATTGGCGGGCCCCGTTAGATGGCGCACCCGACCGGAAGTGATTCAGACAGCCGACGATAGTAAGGTGTAGTAACGTCTATGCGTAAGCGATGTGACTCATTTCATGTTTTGCGGTAAATATTTGCATATAGATCGATAAAAGCCCATGAATAATGATATTTATAGATGCAATTCTGCTGATTCAGTTTAAATGGAAAAACGTATAAAATTCGCGGGAAACAATGCGTATAGGATGATCTCAATAATCAACACGTCATATTCAGTGTGCATATAAAAATGGAATTGCTCAATATTGTGGTGCATACAGTTAATGTTAGTTAATTTTTAACATTGATACAATATTGAAAACATAGTACAGGTCTATATTGTGTATCTAATAAATTCAACAAGGCAATCACCTACGTCGCAAATGAGGTTAGGTTCAGGGCAGGTGTTGTCGTAGCGGTGATATGCAAGAAGTACCGGCGGGGCTGTTAAGCATGGGTGAATGGGCAGGAAGCCAGGCTGTCAACGAGTTAATACTGACCAACGATAACAGCGGTGACCTTGAACACTGTGGTCAGTTAAAAAGTGGTGGGGGTAAAATCGAGATTATAAATACCTATGAATACCGCAAATTATCTTGTCAGTTATCTGCAGCGAACAGACGTGCTCAGTTCAGATTTAGTCGCTAGTTAACGTTTTAGTTTTTAAAAAATGGAAAATTCTTCATCGTTAAGGATTCTACTAAGAAGATTAAAAAATTTAATCTATATGGGCGAGAAGTGGGAATTTAAAATACGACCTATCCCTAAAGACGTCGAACCTGTGGGATGGATCAAAGACGCTCTGGAGGAATAGTAGCCAAAGGAACTGAACATCTCCAGCCCAGTGATCAGTTGGATTCACTTTCTGTTCCAAAGACTTTGCCCGCGGTCAAGGATGGATAGCTTTTAAATTGTTTTCCGACGTTTCAACTGAGGACATATGGGAGAAGATATCTTCCATCTATCAGTCAAATTCTGTGGGTTGAATACCGAGACTTTTTGCTTGGGTATTACGTCCGTAAGGTTGCCTGCTGGTCGTGGTAGAGCTCAGAATTTCAATACCTTTGATGAGGAATGCGCCAAAAGAAAAGGCATTATCACCGTTAAAAACACCGATAATTTGTGTCTCCCACGAGCCCTTGTCATCGCCATGGCCCATTTGAACAAAGACAAAGATTATAGCAGAATCCGCCGTGATCGAGGAGAAAAATACAAGGACAAAGAGCTGTACAACTTGTGGAAAAGGCTGATATTGTTATCCCTGAGGAGGGTGTGGAATACCTGAACTTCAAAAGCTACAACGATATCTGCAAAACTACAAAAATTGTTGTATACAAGTTTGGGTGCAAAGGTCGTGACGTCATTTTTGAAGGCGTGTCCGCTGGTCCGACGCTTAACCTAATACTATCCCGAGGGCCACTACATGCTGTCATAACATCCTCACTGCTGCCTTTTGCTGCAGCTATTTTTGTTGAGAACTGCCACATTCCGTATAATAATAAACCAATTCATACGATGTAATAAACAATGTTATGCTTTGTAAAAGATCTCCCGGCCTGCCTGCTGAAAACGAAGCACATCAAATGCAAAGAATGTATAGATAGCTTTTATGGACAAGTGAATGTTTTAATCGCTCATTTACCATCGGTCTGTCTAAATTAAAAGATGTTGTTGTAGACTGTTTTACTTTTAAAGTTCACACGGTAATGATCACATTCTGCGACTATATACTTTGTAAACATGTTATAAAAATCACCAATTGAACATATGTGCTATATACAGCCTGACAGAAGAATCCAAATCAAATGATGTCTTATTAATATTTTACGATTTGGAATGAACCCGTCAGGTAGAAGGAATTACCAACTGGATCTTTACTGCATGAGCCAATCTATGTGTATTCAAACAATGTTGTGAATCATGTACCGATAATCCTATATGCAAGAAATGTGGCACTTCGATACCAGATTCTCGATGTCAAGACGTCATTCTCCATTTATGCAATCATATTCTGAACTTCGTAAAAAATTCAAGAAAGTCTTGTACTGGCGCATAATGGTGGAGGATTTGATCATCAGTTTCTACTTCGTTACATTTTAGAGAAGGACTAGTCTGTACCCAAATGTAACTATGAGAGGAACAAAATTAATATTGATGGAGGTAGGAAATGTAAAATTTCTGGATTCTCTCAATTATTTTCCTATGCCTCTAACTGCTCTACCCAAGGCGTTTGATTTGAAAGAGCTAAAGAAAGGATTACTTTCAACCATTTATTCAAACACTTTGGCTCATCATAATTATCTAGGGCCAATTTCCAGCGCTCGACTTCTACGATCCCGACCATTTAAAGAAGACACTCGGAAAAATTATTAAAATGGCATTGCGAAAGACAAGCGGAGGGATACGTTTTTGATTTCAGAAAGAAATCGTTGAAATACTGTATCTCCGATGTGGAAATATTGACACAGGCGTGTCTCAAATTTCGAGACCCTGATGAAAACGAAACACAGTCGATCCCTTCCAGGAAAGCACCACTATTGCATCATGCTGTAACAAAGTCTTTAGACGCAATTTTTTAAAACCTGAGACGATCGGGGTAATTCCAAAAGGGGGCTATAGATGGCGTGAAAATCAGTCAAAAATTGCCATCCAATGGATGTTGTGGGAGGAACATCAAAGAGGAATCAAAATTCAACACGCCGCTAAGGGTATAGAACCATTGTTAAGGGACATAAAGTAGACGGTTTTTGTAGCGACACAAATCAAGTGTTTGAATTCCAAGGATGCTATTTTCACGGTTGCCCTCGATGTTTCAAATACAACAGAAGCAATCCTCTGCATAATGATCCGTTGAATACATTGGAAAGTCGATACGAACAATCAGTTAGCAAAGTAGAGAGACTCCGAAGCCTTGGACTAGAAGTAATTGAGATATGGGAATGTCAATTTCGAGGAATGCTAAACGATGAAATTAGAGCCTTCACAGAAGCACATCCATTGATAATCAATTTACCGATTAACCCCAGAGACGCTCTCTACGGGGGACGTACAGAAATATCGTTGAATACTACAAGATCAAAACAAATGAATGCATAAAATATGTCGATATATGTTCCCTGTACCCCTTCATCTGTAAATATGGAAAATTTCCGGTGGGTCATCCAAAAAAAATTTACGTAGGTGAAGAATGTGTTACAGCCTCTCTGTCGCAGATGTCAGGACTTATTAAATGCCAGATTCTACCGAACCAGAACTATATCACCCCGTTTTACCGTCAAAAATGAACAACAAATTGATGTTTGTTAACTGTCAAAAATGTGGTGAAGATTTCGTTCGAGAAGAGTGTCAGCATTCTATTCAAGAAAGAAGCCTAAAAGGAACTTGGGTGATAGAAGAGGTGCTCAAAGCTATTGAAAAGGTTACCAGATTATAGAGACTTACGAAATATGGGAATACGATACAATTCAGCTCAGTAAAGACCAAGAGGGGTTATTTAGCGGAATGATGACAAAGTTTCTACAAATAAAAACAACAAGCTTCAGGATGGCCCAAACATTGCTTAACGGATGAAGAAAAAAACCGTTATATTGATGCATTTTTGGATACAGAGGACATAAAGCTGGAATTTTCAAAAATTATAGAGAACCCCTGTTGAGATCGTTAGCTAAACTTATGCTGAATTCTTTTGGGGTAAATTTGCTCAAAAAGAAAACCAAAACAAAACCTCAATAGTCAGAGACTGTGGTGAATCTTTGATATGCTGACTAATCCTTCTATTCATGTAAATACAGTTCTCCCGGTAAACGAAGAAACCCTTCTCGTAACTTGGGAATTTAGAGAAGAGGCGTATGACGTTTCTTCAACGGTTAACGTTGTATTGGCTTCATACGTCACGGCCCTAGCTAGACTAAAATTATATTCATTCTTGGAGAAAGTGGAAGAAAGGGCAGTTTACGTAGATACAGATTCATGTATTTATATCTCTCGTAAGGGATTAGACGACATATCTACAGGCGACTTCATAGGTGATATGACCGATGAGCTCAATGGGGGTTTCATATCAGAGTTTGTTTCTGGAGGACCTAAGAACTACGCCTACAAATATACTACTTTGTCTGGAGAGGAACAGATCGTATGTAAAGTAAAGGCATATCACTCAACTACAAGGCATCCCAAGTGGTCAATTTTGAGAAAATAAAAGACATGGTGCTGAAGAAATCTGATCCTGTTTCTGTACTTTCTCGACAGCTACGACGTACAAGAGAGCATGCAGTAGTAACAGTCGAGTTTCCTAAGGCTATACAAGATAACTTCAATGAAAAGGAAATTCTATGAAGATCATACCTCTGTACCATTTGGATTTAAGAAAATAAAATATTGATTTATTAATGTATGTAAATATTTTTTAATAAACATGTAAAATAAAATGTATGCAAATGATTTTTTGTTTTTTATTTCCCGCCTAATTGAAAAATATTTTTGCACCCGAAATTGTTCAGCCTTTTTACTCCATATAAAAATATTTAAAGTATGCATTGTTATTATTAAACGCCTGCAGTAATATACACCAAAAAATTGAGAAGCAGTGTAACCATGTAGACTTTGTATAATCACAAAAAAACATATCTTGGAAAATAAAAAATACAGCAGATTCATAAGCAGTGTAGAGAGGAAACTACGTAAAAGTAATCGATTATTACTAATAAAATAGAGTTTTGAATTCCTATTTTTACAATAATAATCATTTTACTATCTTACGTGTTGGGCACTGCACTGCACGGGTACCAACACTGTACTGCACGGGCACGAAAAATTGAGAAGCATGATAACCATGTAGAACTTCGTATCACTACGTAAATGGTTATTACGAAAAGTAGAAATAAAAACTCTATTTTCGATAATAGCTATACTATTTTTTATGAGCACCGAAAAAATTGAGAAGCACGATAACCTCATAGAACTTCGAACAGCACCAGAGACAACCGAAGGCTACAGAAAAAAAACACATACTGAAAAGGCATAACATCTATCAGCGCTGGTATCCGATAATACTGTTTCCTTTGACATTCGTTGGGATATGAAAACACATATTTGCTTCCCACCGTTATAACGGAAATAATAGTTACTGCAAAAGCAGTTTCACAATAAGACCATACATTAATCTACAAAGTTGATAATAAAACATATGTACTATTAAAATGCAGATATTTTTAAAATTATACAATTAAAAAATCAAAATAATATATTATAAATGGTAGGGGATACAGGGTAAACACCGAAATATACTTAATTTAGAATAGTTACCTATAATCTCCTCAGTTCTTTGGTCAGCCGTATCGACAATTTACCGGTGGGTCCTCTATTTTTGTGCATGTAAAAGGTTAGACTATGGCGCTAGCAAAAAAAAAACAAAATGCAACAAAGTAGAGTCACTTAATATTCTTGTTGAAGTTACGGATAGAATATGGTAGAAAGTAACAATCAGATATTGTAGAAGCCATGTAATTGTTTAATGTTGAGGAAAAAGTATTTTTCATACGCTGACCATGTTATGTCCGCTTGGTACGCGACCAGATTTTTTCCAAACCTTTGCCCGTAGGGTTCATGAGCCGACGACCAAATGTGTCGTCGAAGGGGCATTTTTGGCCAAATTCGGTCGAAACCGATGCTGCGTTCGTACCCTAGAGCCTACGAACAGCGACTCAAACTTAATTTTAATTGATTTGCAAAGATCTTGCTAGAATACTTGAGCTAGTGATTATATGCAATTTATCGGTGACGAGCTTTCCTCTAGCATATCTTGATTTATTCAAGCGAATCAATGAGAAACTAGTGAATAAAATTACCCTGACAGCCATAGTACAAGTTGGTATATCTACACCTTCTCTTACATTTGGCGCCACTAAAATGTTAATCTCCTTGTTTCTAAAAACGATCAAGTACTTATCTGTTCTTCTTATTAATCGGAAGTGATTCTACGGTGCTATTAAAAGAGTTTCCGTTATATCCCACAACGAAATCCGGCTTTATATGTCTGAACTCTGGTACATGTTCACTCAAATCTTTCAGTACATGGTGCAATATTTTTGGCAGTTGATCTTTCCTTCGTGAATATTAAACCACAAATGTCTTCGTTTGAAGATGAACTGTTGAAAAGTGTTACGTTTATATTAGTATTAATATTTATGACATTTACTTTTTTTAAAATAGTTAAATACTACGATAAACTGGGAATGTGGGATGAAGCAGAAATGTTTCTGTAACCCAATTTAGGTATGTATAGCAAGTCTTACGCAAGACAATAATAAAAACAGATAGAATTTGAGGGCGATTCTTGGAAGAAAAATTCATAGTATTTCTAAGGCAACACCGACCGGAGTGCTATAATTTTAGCATACATTTACAGGTTATAGGTCTAATGATAAATAGAAAGTGATTAAAATTTTAACTTCAATTTTCGTAAAATAGCTGAGATATGCCATCTTGCAGTAGCCTGGAATGAAATACCCGACAGGTTACCCATCACCTGATAGTCTGTGGTTCTCGCCGCTAGATGACGCTACATACAAACGTCATCTGTCAAACGTTATGTGTATCATTGATAAGTGTGAGTTGTGTCTCTAAGCGCTAGATGGTGTCGATGTCGCACTGGTGTCGTAGAGTGACCCACATACAGGGGTCGATAGAAATTTTTGGGGCCCTACCGACGGGTCGATGAACCGACGGTATAACGTCAGATCGAAATAAGCTCCATTCACATGGGAGGTGTGTGTGGAACTGCTCGTGGGAGACACGGACCTTGTCGTATCTAGCAAGACGTGTCCTAAAATGGTGATACCCATTGGTCGCTCAGCCATACAGGTCGGTCAGACAGAAGTTTTTGGGACCGGGGTGCTCTGATTGGTGGATCAGACGGCGGGAAATTTGAACGGTGTTGATGGTATAGTTGAATGGTGGACGGCGGGGTTGGGTGCGTTGGTAATCACCTATGTCGCAAATGAGGTTAGGTAGATAGTCGTTCAGTGAAGGTGTTGTCGTAGTGGTGATATGCAAGAAGTACTGCGCGCGGGGGTGTCAACGAGTTAATATTGGCCAACGATAACAGCGGTGACCGTGGAACACTGTTGTCACACGGTTGCAAAAGATGATAGGTTATCTCTTAATTTTCGTAAACAACGATTTTTCTAAAGTGGTAAAAACAGGTCGAAATTTTAAATACCTATGAATCACCGCAAATTATCTTGTCAGTTATCTGCTGCGAACAAAACATGCTCAGCTCAGACTTATCTAAAAGTGGTGGGAAAATCGATATTATAAAAATATTTATGAATCACCGCAAATTCTCTTAGACGTGCTCTTATCAGTTCAGACTTAGTTAAAACTGGTGGGTAAAATCGAGATTATAAATACCTATGAATCACCGCAAATTACCTTGTCAGTTATCTGCAGTGAACAGACGTGCTCAGTTCAGACTTAGCAATTCCCAACGCTCCTCCGTGGCCATTCCCCTTACCCTCTCGCGAGTGCGCGCATGCGCATGCGGCTCGTTCTGGTCTATAGACATATGATCGCTAATGATCTTGAACAAAGATGTCCTGATACCCGAACCGCCAGAGGTACATCAGAAGTAATGTTAGTATTGTGTGTGCGCGTTTTTTGAACACGCTAAGTCGTGATGTACATCACGTGACGTACGTCACGTGACGTACGTGACGTGCGTGTGACAGGTGACGTGCGTCACGTGACACGTAACGCACGTGGCACGTGACGTGCGTCACGTGACACTTGACGCACGTGGCGTACGTCACGTGACACGTGACGTGCACACTTTGTTCAAAAATACCAAAAAGCTGTCTTGATAGCCCGAACCGCCAGAGGTACAACATCAGAAGTAATGTTAGTGCGTGGTTGAGGTTCAAAAACTTAGCGTGTTCAAAAAAAAAAACGTACCTAGACCAAAAGTCATTCTAGACCAGTCACTCTAGACCAAAGCACAAAAAAAACGCCGTTTTTCAACGCCTTTTTTGTCACCATTCCCCTAGTAGCGCGCATGCGCATGGGGCTCGTTCTGCTGGTGCTGGCGCGGGCGTACATAGCGTTTGTGGTAAGGGTTTGGGGTAGGTCTTGTTCTCTTATCGCGCACGAGTAAGTTTGTTTGTTGTGTACCATGGGATAGTGGTAAGAGAACAAGACCTACCCCAAACCCTTACCACAAACGCTATGTACGCCCGCGCCAGCACCAGCAGAACGAGCCCCATGCGCATGCGCGCTACTAAGGGGAATGGTGACAAAAAAGGCGTTGAAAAACGGCGTTTTTTTTTGTGCTTTGGTCTAGAGTGACTGGTCTAGAATGACTTTTGGTCTAGGTACGTTTTTTTTTTTTTGAACACGCTAAGTTTTTGAACCTCAACCACGCAACTAACATTACTTCTGATGTTGTACCTCTGGCGGTTCGGGCTATCAAGACAGCTTTTTGGTATTTTTGAACAAAGTGTGCACGTCACGTGTCACGTGACGTACGCCACGTGCGTCAAGTGTCACGTGACGCACGTCACGTGCCACGTGCGTTACGTGTCACGTGACGCACGTCACCTGTCACACGCACGTCACGTACGTCACGTGACGTACGTCACGTGATGTACATCACGACTTAGCGTGTTCAAAAAACGCGCACACACAATACTAACATTACTTCTGATGTACCTCTGGCGGTTCGGGTATCAGGACATCTTTGTTCAAGATCATTAGCGATCATATGTCTATAGACCAGAACGAGCCGCATGCGCATGCGCGCACTCGCGAGAGGGTAAGGGGAATGGCCACGGAGGAGCGTTGGGAATTGCTAAGTCTGAACTGAGCACGTCTGTTCACTGCAGATAACTGACAAGGTAATTTGCGGTGATTCATAGGTATTTATAATCTCGATTTTACCCACCAGTTTTAACTAAGTCTGAACTGATAAGAGCACGTCTAAGAGAATTTGCGGTGATTCATAAATATTTTTATAATATCGATTTTCCCACCACTTTTAGATAAGTCTGAGCTGAGCATGTTTGTTCGCAGCAGATAACTGACAAGATAATTTGCGGTGATTCATAGGTATTTAAAATTTCGACCTGTTTTTACCACTTTAGAAAAATCGTTGTTTACGAAAATTAAGAGATAACCTATCATCTTTGCAACCGTGTGACAAAGTGT